ACCCCACTGTCTGAGACCTTCTCTGAGCTCCTCATCTGTCGGGGCCTTGTCCTTGATGTTCTCAAGGAGCTTGGATGTTTCATCCTGGACAGTGGTTCACACTCACTAGTCCTCGGCCTCCTTCCTTCCGGCCTGCGTTCAGTCTCAGGGTGTTGGATTTGGGATGAACCCTCCACATGGTCAGGAGCTTTTGTGTCTTAACATCTGTGGTCTGTATCTCCTCCTTTGGTCAGTGCATGATTCCTGCAGGATCTGATCACTGACAGGGTGTAGCTGTTTATTGCCTGGGCCTTGTTCTTCCATTGAGCTGCTTCTTAGGACTTGTCTGACTCTTTGCAGGTATTTGGCCGTAGTTGCTTTCCTTGTTGCCTCTTCGAGGAGCCATTTGCTTGTGGGACACCAAGGTACTTGTAACTGTCCTCAACGTCTCCTATTGTTCCCTCTGGGAGTGAGACCCTCTGTGTGTTCTACCTTCTCTCTCTTTGTCACCATCCTGCTACATTTGTCAAGCTTGAATGACATCCCAGTGTCTGTGCTGTAGATCCTGGTGGTGTGGATCAGTGAGTCGATGTCTCGCTCACTCTTAGTTGTACAGCTGATGTCGTCCATGTAGAGGAGGTGACTGATGTTGGCCCCATTTCTGAGTCGGTATCCATAGCCAGTGCGGTCGATGATTTGGCTGAGGGGGTTCAGATGCAGAACAGTAGTGGGGACAGTGAGTCTCCTTGGTATATGCCACATTTGATGGACACTTGTGCAAGTGGCTTCCCATTGGCTTCAAGGGTGGTTTTCCACAACCACATCGCGTTTGCAATGAAGACTCTTAGAGTCCTGTTGATATTGTACAGCTCCAAACACTCAGTGATCCATGTGTGTGGTATTGAGTCAGAGGATTTCTTGTAATCAATCCAGGCAGTGCACAGGTTGGTCTTTCGGGTTTTGCAGTCGCGGGCGACTGTTCGGTCAACCAGGAGTTGGTGCTTGGCTCCCCTGGTGTTTTTGCCGATGCCCTTCTGTGCTGTGCTCATGTATTGATCCATGTGCTGCTTATCTTAGCTGCGATGATGCCTGACATGAGCTTCCATGTTGTGGAGAGACAGGTTATTGGTCGATAGTTGGATGGGACTGCACCCTTTGAGGGATCCTTCAGGATCAGGATCGTACACCTTTGGGTTATTATTATTATTTGTGCTGCCAGGTGCTCGTGGAAAGCAGTGAGCTTCTTTAGCCAGTATGTATGGATCATGTCAGGGCCTGGTCTGGTTTTTCATACCTGAGACATTATTATATATATATATATATATATATATATATATATATATATATATCTATAGATATATATACGCTCCTGACTGACACTTCGATTTCGAAATATGGTCCCTGGCTCCAGATGAGCCGCTCTAAGTGCTGGCCTCCATGAGCTTCATTTGGAGCTGAGCTGTGGGTGACGTCACACTCAGAACACTTCTTCACACAGTGTGTGGTTCCAGGTTCTGGAGGAGCAGGTCCTGAGGTTTGTCCAACAGCAGCTGCAGAGGCTCCACAGGCTCCTGGCCTCAGATTACCCAGAATGCTCCGAGAGTGAGGAGGAGGAGAGCAGAGAGGTTCTGAACATCACCCTGGACTTCCTGAAGAGGATGGACCAGGAACATCTGGCCCAGCGCCTGAGAACAGTAAGAACCTCCAGATGCCCTCCCATCCTCCTGTATCCCTGTGTGTCAGGTCCCTCCCCGTGTGTCAGGTCCCTCCCCGTGTGTCAGGTGCCCTCCCCGTGTGTCAGGTCCCTCCCTGTGTGTCAGATTTCCTCCTGTATGAAATATGTGACATGTTTGACATTCTAACTCTTGTGTGTTGTTTAAAGGGAGTAAAGTTGGATTCAGAGATAAACTGAAGTGTGATCTGCAGCAGAGGTTCAGCCGTGTGTTTGAGGGCGTGGCTAAAGCAGGAGACTCCGCCCCCCTGACCCAGATCTACACAGAGCTCTACATCACAGAGGGCGGAGCCTCAGAGGTCAACCAGGAACATGAGGTCAGACACGTGGAGACGGTGTCCAGGAGACCTCCTCCTGAGATCGCCATCACATGTCATGAGCTCTTTAAACCCCGCCCACATTCACCACAGCCAATCAGATTAGTGCTGACGAAGGGCGTGGCCGGCGTGGGGAAAACAGTGTCTGACTCAGAAGTTCGGTCTGGACTGGGCTGAAGGCCGGGCCCACCAGGACCTCCAGCTGCTGTTCCCCTTCACTTTCAGAGATCTGAACGTGCTCAGAGACACACAGTTCAGCCTGGTGGAGCTGCTGCACCACTTCTTCAGTCCATCCAAAGATCTCTGCAGCTTCCAACAGCTCCAGGTGCTCTTCATCTTTGACGGTCTGGACGAGTGCAGACTTCCTCTGGACTTCGGCCGAACCCGGGTCCTGAGCGACCCCACAGAGTCCGCCTCAGTGCACGTGCTGCTGGTGAACCTCATCAGGGGGAGCCTGCTTCCCTCCGCTCTCCTCTGGATAACCACGCGCCCCGCCGCGGCCAATCAGATCCCTGCTGAGTGCGTCTCCATGGTGACAGAGGTGCGAGGGTTCGCCGACCCGCAGAAGGAGCAGTACTTCAGGAAGAGGTTCAGAGACCAGGCCACGGTCGTCATCTCCCACATCAAGAGCGTCCGCAGCCTCCACATCATGAGCCACATCCCGATCTTCTGCTGGATCCTCTCCACAGTTCTACGGAAGCTTCTGGAACAAACAGAACCAGAACTGCCCCGGACTCTCACACAGATGTACGTCCACTTCCTGGTGGTGCAGGCCAAAGTCCAGAACATCAAGTATCAGCAGGGATCAGGGGAGGACCTTCACTGGACTCCAGAGACCAGGGAGATGGTGAAGTCTCTGGGAAAAGTGGCCTTTGAGCAGCTGCAGAAAGGAAACCTGATCTTCTACGAGAGTGACCTGAGCGAGTGTGGGCTGGACGCTGCAGCGGCCTCAGTGTACTCCGGAGTGTTCACACAGGTCTTTAGAGAGGAGCCAGGCCTGTACCAGGACAAGGTCTACTGCTTCATCCATCTGAGTGTGCAGGAGTTTCTGGCTGCTCTTCACGTCCATCAGACCTTCTACAGCTCTGGAGAGAACCTGCTGGAGACACCACACTCCTCTGAGAGTCCAGACCCTGAGGCCTTCTACCGCTCTGCTGTGGACCAGGCCTTACAGAGTCCAAACGGACACCTGGACCTGTTCCTGCGCTTCCTCCTGGGGCTGTCTCTGCCGACCAATCAGAAGCTGCTGCAGGGTCTGCTGACTCACACAGGAAGTGACCCGACCAATCAGGAGACATTAAAGTTCATCAAACAGAAGCTGGATGAAGAGGGTCTGTCTGCAGAGAGAAGTCTGAACCTGTTCCACTGTCTGAACGAGCTCAACGATGGCAGTTTGGTGCAGGAGATACAGAAGAACATGAGAAGATACCTCTCTGAAGGAACCATGTCTCCTGCTCAGTGGTCTGCTCTGTCCTTCGTCTTACTGTCCTCAGACTCAGACCTGGAGGAGTTTGACCTGAAGAAATACCAGGCTTCAGAAAGAGCTCTCCTGGGTCTGCTGCCGGTGGTCAGAGCCTCCACCAAAGCCCTGTGAGTCCAGACTGTATTTAAACTCTTGTGTGGAGGTTCTAGTCTCTAATGTCCCTCTCTGTCCTCAGACTGTATTTAAACTCTTGTGTGGAGGTTCTAGTCTCTAATGTCCCTCTCTGTCCTCAGACTGTATTTAAACTCTTGTGTGGAGGTTCTAGTCTCTAATGTCCCTCTCTGTCCTCAGTCTTTGTGGCTGTGGTCTGTCTCCTCACAGCTGTGCTCCTCTGGCCTCAGTCCTCAGCTCCTCCAGTCTCACACATCTGGATCTCAGTCACAACGACCTCCAGGACTCAGGAGTGGAGCTGCTGTGTTCTGGACTGAAGAGCGCCCCCTGCAGACTGGAGACGCTCAGGTGAGACGCTCCCATGATGCACTCTGCCCCCTTGTGTCCACATGAGTGTAATGCTGTGTCTTTAGGCTGTCTGGATGTCTGGTCTCAGAGAGGGGCGGGGCTGCTCTGGCCTCAGCTCTGAGCTCCGCCCCCTCCCACCTCAGAGAGTTCGACCTGAGCTACAACCATCCAGGACCCTCCGCCGAGCTCCTGACCGCTCTACAGGACCAGCGCCCCCTGCTGTCTGTCAGGTGAGACTGCGCTTGTGTCTGTGAGAGACTAAGACCTGTCCGAGATCACGGCCCATCAAGACCATCTTTATAATTTTCTACATTTATTTATATTTTACGATCACTGGAGAACATGTTTATCACTGTTTTTATAAATCTATCTCTAGTTCATCTGATTAATGTTGATTTAAGTTTAAATAAACCTGCCCTTTTTTAGACCCTCACCCACTGTTTGAGAACCTCTTCTTTGAGCCAACTTCCATTGGTTTTTACAGAAAACTGCTTCAAGATCAAGGAAGAGGGAAGATTTAGCAGCCTCTTCACATTTATAAAACCCAATGCTCATCGTGACAACCACAAACACATCTGTGCACTTTTATTAGAGGAACTTCAGCCACATGTGACTGTAGACCTGCTCTGTGTGGACATCGTCACACGAGTTTGGTGTAGTTTTTACTTTGCATTTCCTCTTGCTCTTCTAATCAGTGCATTGAGGAGGGGGCGCTGTCTGGCCTCTAGTCTGGGTTCTAGTCCATGGTTGGTCCTGGTCTGGTCCTGGTCTGGTCCTGGTCTGGTCTAAACTGGACTTGTGTGTTTCAGGTTGGATCCTGCTGGAGAGCGCTGGATGGTCCCAGGTCTGAGGAAGTGTGAGTTTGTTTTGTTTCCTTCACACAGTAAAGTGCAGAGAACAGCTAGGTCAACCAGCTCATTCACTCAGGTCATTCACTCAGGTCATTCACTCTGTTTGAAATGGGTCTGAATCTCTGTTAAACATAGACTCAATCAGGACAAAAGACTGAGGTGAAGTGTTTGTGTTTCAGACTCCTGTGACGTTTCTCTGGACCCAAACTCAGCTCACAGACTTCTGCTTCTGTCTGAGGACCATCGGACTCTGACTCGAGCGAAGGAGGATCAGGAGTATCCAGATCATGAGAACAGGTTCACAGACTATGTTCAGGTCCTGAGCTGCACTGGCCTGAGGGGGCGCTGTTACTGGGAGGTGGACTGGAGCGGGAGGGTTTATATTGCAGTGAGTTACAGAAAGATCAGTAGAAAAGGACCGGAACGGGAGTGTGGGTTTGGAAGCAATGATCACTCCTGGAGTCTGGGGATGACTGATGATGGAGTGTACTATGTTATTCACAACAGAAACTCCGCACGACTCCAACGCTCCTGTCAATCAAGGAGAGAGGGCGTGTCCTCTGGTAAAGGGGGCGTGTTCTTTGGCAGAGTGGGCGTGTTCCTGGACTCTGAGGCTGGAGCTCTGTCCTTCTATGACGTCTCCTCTGATGGAGAACTGTTCCACCTCTGGACCTTCTCCTCGTCCTTCTCTGAGCCTCTGTTTCCAGGGTTTACACTGTGGGATAAAGAAGGTTCCTCTGTGACTCTGGTGAAAGAGACGGAACAAAACAGAAGAGAAGCTGGACTTGTCCCACGATGACGACGCGAGAACAAAAGATAAAGAGAAATAAGAACAAAATGGAGCTTCAGTGTCATTACAGAAATTTGACTTTGACTCAAATAAAAACTAAACACAGAAACTGAACGAGGTCAAAGTGACTGTTCTTCATATATAAACAGAGAGAGGAAGGGTCATATCGTCCATGAGGTCGTCTGTGGTTTTAAGTGTCTGTATATCGTCCGTGCTGCTGATTAAACCGATGTGTCTTTCCATTTCACTGATGACCTCTTTTGTGTGTGTGGGGCTTTGCTCATTTACATTTGTGGATTTAATATTTTGGGCAGTGAATCAGTTGAAGATGTGGGTTCTGTTACTTCGGTGGTTTCTTTTATCGTATATCAGTATCAGGGGTAGTTGAGTATCGGGGGGGGTTGAGTATCGGGGGTTGAGTATCAGGTTGAGTATTGAGTATCGGGGGGTTGAGTATCGGGGGTTGAGTATCAGTATCGGGGGTTGAGTATCGGGGTCTGTGAGTATCGGAGGAAGCGTCTCTTTGTCAAACGTCTCCTCATGAACAGCTGATGTTCTGATGTTCTGATGTTCTGATGCAGGGAGCTTCTGTTCTTTATAAAACTCCTCAGTTCTTGTTAGGAGACTTTTTGTCTTTAAGTTTCATGAGGTGTTATGTTTTTTTGATGCTTCAACTGTACGATTACTGACAGTGAATTATCTGAACTTCAGCAGCACATAAACATTTCTGAGATAATTGATACAATATCTGTAACACAAAAGGGAAAAGCCCCTGGCCCTGATGGAAACAAATATAGAATTCTACAAGAAATGTTCAAAAACTTTAGCTCCCTTTTATTCAGAATGTACAATGAATGTCTGAGTCCAGAGACTCTACCACAAAGTCTGTCAGAAGCTTCTATAACTCTGAATTTAACACAAGGAAGAGATGAAACAAACTGTAGCTCCGACCGTCCTATTTCTCTTTTAAATTCAGATTACAAAATCCTTGCTAAGTTTTTAGCTTTACACCTTGAATTTATTATGCCCAACATTATATCGACCGATCAAACCGGCTTCATGAAGACCTGTCATTCATGTCAAACATTCATCGACTCCTTGACATTTTAATGGCTCCTGCATCCACTGAGACTCCTGAAACAGTCGACTCACTGGACGTGGAGAAGGAATTTGATCATGTGGAGTGGAGGTAAATGATGGAAGTTTTAAAAAGATTCAATTTTGGCCCCAAAATAAACTGGACAAGCTTCTTCACTCATGACCTGAGGCACCTGTCACCACAAATGGAGTTCGCTTCACCTTACTGTAGAGGCACTCGTCAAGAGTGTCCCCTGAGCCCACTCCTCTGCGTCTTTAGAATCGAACCATTATCAGTCTCTTTGAAATCAGACTTTTATAAAGGAATTTCACAATATAATCTAGAAAACAAAGAATCACAATATACAGATGATTTCTTATGACTCATTTCTGACCCAATCCCCACTTTCTCTCAAATAAAACCTAAAAAGGTTCCATATATATTAAGTTAAACATTGTTAAGAGTGAGTGTTTCCCGGTGAATCATTTGGCTTCTCAGATCTCTGGGCATCTCTATCATTTTAAATTTTGCAAATAGAACTTGAAGTATTTGGGCAAATGCTCTAACATGTCAGATCAGTGTGAATATAACTTCCCTTCAATCATTTCAAATCTGAAATTGGACTTAGATAAGTGGAACAACTTGTATATTTCAATTACTGGAAGAGTTCAGTGTGTAAAGATGAATGTACTTCCATGTTTTCTACATTTCTGGGCTCGACATTAACAGTCGTCCAGTCGACTGAGTAACTGGACACTTTGAGTGGACAAGTGTGTTTTTCCTGTGCTTTCTGTGTGCTGCTGATTAAAATGTCTTTTCCTGTTATAGATTCATCTGTGACATTTATGACGAGGAAAGAGAGAAGTTCCTTCAAAAACTGAATGCAGTAAAATACGTCTCTTTTAACTGTTGGGGCCACAGACTGTGTCGTTACTGAAAACAAACTAATGTATGTTTGTTTTTTATCACCTGAAGGACCAGTCAATGCCGACTTTTCCATTCAACATCTAAAACACCAGTGCAGCTGGGATCTATGATCCATTCAAGCAGGTAAATTCAAATCTCAAATGACTAATACTGTAAATATTTTCCCGTCTACATCTGAGTTTTACATTTTCTTATATTTGAAGAAGTTGGGGTTGACACGTGGCAGGAGCGTCTGGTTGGTTTTGGAAGTGATGCGGCTGCAGTCAGTCTGGGTTTGAAAAGTGTGCGGCTGCACGTCTGCAGAAGGATGTGGAGCATTTGGTGTCTGTGCACTGCACAGTTCATCGTCTTGAGCGACAAAAAATAATTGTTGGATGGAGGAAATGCAAGTGATGCTCAAACACATGTATGAACAGTATAATTATTCTCCAAAAGCCACGCGAGAGCTCAGACTGACTGCAGGAGGAAAAGGTTCTGAATCCATCAAACCTTCATGTACCCGCTGGCTTCCATATGTGCATCATCAAGGTTAACTTCAAAAATAGGAATATATTTTTAAATGTATCATCCACATGAAATCACAAATTCATTCATTTAAATTATTTGTAATTTATAATAAAGTTGTTGCTGTTTTACAGATTGTGGGACAGTTATTCAGTCCATTTTGAAGATATGACAAGTCCTGAAAGACGCCCTGAGCCTCTGCCCCAGTGTCAGGAAGAGAAACATGTAACACACTACCTCAGAAAATCTGACAATGTCCTCTTCCTCCTCTTCATGTGCGACACGCTGGACCACCTCACCACATGAAGCAAAATGTTTCAAAAGGACAAAATCACCGTGGACCAGGCAGTCGAAGCCAGGAATCATGTGTCTGTGACATCACTGCCCTGAAAATGGAAATGGGCCTCAAATGTCCCAGTTTTACCGAGCTGTGACAGAGACAACAGAAAACAAAGGTTGTGCTCTTTGAAAATGCTTCTTTGTTCATCCTCAAAACAGAACGAGCTCAAGTCATTGGTAAAGTACAAGTCTAAAATCACTGATCTTAGTTTAAAAGTCAAGAGTGGACACAGCATCATTCTCAAAAGTTCAAACACATTCAGTCATCAGTCTTTTAGATGATCGTCTCAGTGATCTGCTGTTGTAAAATTCAGGGCACTAGATCCATCATCATGGCCCCTGTTCCTTCCAAATGACATTACTGTAGAGGAACGTTTCAGGGAAAGTGGTGTAAAAGAAATGAGAACACTTGTAGAGTTCTACAAAGAGCTTCTTGAAAATGAAGGAATAGAAGTTCAGGAGGCTCTGTCAGACCACAGCCAGTACAAGATGTTTGTAGACAAGAGCAGCACTTCCACTGACGGAGCTTTTATGAACATGAACAGTCAGGTGTGTGAAATATGCCAAGATGATTTTTACAAACATAATCTAACCACACATCCTTTCATTATTTGTCCAGAGGAACGACGTGAAAGGTTCAAATCTTGGTCCTGTTGATGGAGCTCTCCCTGATTGTGCCTGTAAACACCGCTGACTGTGAGTGTGGCTTTTCAACTTTCAAAAGAATCAAGACTGACTGGACCAAGCCTGAAGTACAGCAGCTTCAGAGGCTGCTGCTTCTGTCTGTAGAAGCTCCTCCACTTGAACAGTTTGAGGCAGAAGCAGCAGAAGCAGCGATGGTGCCAAAGCAGACAAAGAAAACCAAGACCAGGGTTTAATCCATAGATTCACAGACAGAGTGAAGAAGGAGATTAATAACACATTTAAATAGAACTTTAAAAAGTGTAAAAAGTTTATCCATTTAAGTATTTGTTCTTTTATATGTATCATTTCATATTTATACATCTATATTTATGTGTTCATCATCAAAAAACTAACCTGGAAATATCACACCCAACATGTTTGTAGAAAATGATGAAGTCGTTTGGTATTTAGAGTAAAGTTGGCTCCTGTATAAATGTTTCATGTGTGATTGTTACGGCTCGCGGTCTGTCTCCCCGTTTGTATTACCGCGTGTATCTTCCGTGTTTGCATGTCCCGTGTGGTGCCTGGTGTCTGACTGGTGGCCGTGGTTCCGATGCTGTGGTCTGGTTCCGACGTCCCTTGTGCTGTGGCTGGAGGATTGACGTCCCGTTCCTCCAATCCCGTCCTTCCACATCCTTCCACAACAATCACCTCGACCAATAAAAGTGCTGTGCTCCTGTCCCTCCTGGCGGCTGGACGGCAGTTTCAGTTCGCCCCTCACATCTTTAGACTTTCGCTCGTTGATATTGTAAAGTGTGTTTGGTATTATAATTTTTAGTTTTGCCAGTTTGGCTCGGCCCTTGGGCAGTGTTTTTTGTTGCTGTTAAATACCTTAGTTTATGAGTGGTTTAGTAAATTTGTGGAATTCTGAAATATCAAATGTGAACGTTTATTTATTTTTTTGTTATTGTACTTACCTACACCACTTTATAAAACCCATTTACTTTACATCATATCTGGTTTGTGTTACTTTCCTTTGTCCCTAGCACTGGGTTGTAACAGTGATGACTTTATATGATAGTTTCATCTGTCCTTACATCATGTTTTGTGACATGGTTTGGGCTTCTACATGTAAGATTATCTCAACAAGATTTTATTAATACAAAGACATTTTTAAGAATTATGAATTATTCACACCTACAGGGACCTAGTGCGGCGCAGCGTCCCTCGACCAATCAGAATCCAGCATGTTTGGACGTGAAGTGTGTTCTGAACAGTGTTGGGAAATTTACTTTTAAAATGTAATCCCCTACAGATTACAGATTACACACCCAAAATGTAGTTTGTAACAGAATCCATTAAATGACTTAAAGTGAGTAATGTAATCTGATTACTTTGGATTACTTGATTTGTTGTAGAGAAACAAAGACGAGGAAATCTTCACATAAGAAGTTTTATCTGATAAAAGAAAATAAAAAGTCCAAACTTTACTGAACCAAATTAAAAAATATTATTGATAGAAAACGAAGAAACACGTCCACACAGCAGGATTTAGTCCTGTTAAATCCTGGTTTAGTCCTGGTTTAGTCCTGGTTTGAATGGAATTACTGAATTAAAAAAACAGAAAAACAAAACAAAAGGGATTTAGCCCCAAAATGTGAAAACAGTAAAATTCCTCTGTGTAATCCATTTATTTTCAACAAAGTAACTGTAATCCAATTACCACTCACTTAAACAGTAACTGTAACTGAATACAGTTACTCATCATTTGTACTCTGATTACTCCAGTACATGTAATCTGTTACTCCACAACACTGGTTCTGAATTGTACTCACCTCCCGGCAAACTCTGTCCGATCGTTATCACCGCCAGGTTTCCCCAGACAGAGTTCACCAGGTGTCAGGGAATTCTACCAAAAGACATTAAAATACATTAATAAAGACACACCAGAAAGAGACGGTAATAAAGTATACTTGCGCAAGGAGAGTTTGCGAACAAATGTCTGTCAGCTCCCTGACCTACTCTGCTCGACAACTCTCCAAGTCACACTTTTATTGAGAATCATTTTCACAGATAAACATACTTGATGACATCACAATACATTTCACATGTTATCTTATAACTAACAATCGTCAAACTGAACCACCCTCCCATTTCACACTTGATTACATATCCTAAAAGATAGACAATGACCCAAGGCCTTTAGTTTTAACATGAGATGGGACAAACCCAGAATCGTTGGCGCCCATAGTAGATTAGCTTAATCGGTTGACAATGTCATTCATGTCACGTACATCCTGAACCAAAACAGACCCAAAGCAATGTTGATTACACCATGATTAATATTTAAATGTTTCACTCTTTAAATGATTAATACTTTAATGAAAGAATTACATATATAAATGAGTAACACTTACATGATTAATACTGAAATCAAAGAAATACATTTATATCATATCAATTCTCTAACATTTCCCTCCTGTTTATCAATATTGCTTTACCTCAGAGTACTATAACTTCTAAGCAGATTTTCTATAGCCTCGTCATTTTGCATATTCTAAACAGAATTTTCTTCTTGAGTGTAGTCCAGATTCAAATTAGCTAGTAATGCTTCACATTCTTCAGCTACATGAATTTCAATTTTCTCAAACATCCTGTCAAAAACTCTTAATAGGAGCAAGCGTATGCATGGAATACAACAACACCCACATAACACAAACACACTTATGCAAATAAGCAGTGATGTGAATATGGATAACACAATGTTTTTCCACGACCCAAATGTGGAGTTAAACCACTCTTCTATAATATTGTTAACCCCTGATTGCTCGTGCATGGTATCGGCGAACATTTGCAGACCCTGTAAGGTTCTGGTAACTGATCCGTCTGCTGCCGTGTTGTTCGGGATAAATAAACAACACTGTCCTTTGAAAAATGCGCAGACCCCTCCCCTCTCTGCGAGGACCATATCAAGCGCTAATCTATTTTGATAAGCTATCGCGGAGGTGGCGTGCAGCTGCTCAGCTAAAGCTTTTCCTAAAGCTAAAGTGTAATTGGTCAGTCTCAGTATTTTGTAGTGGTGATAGTTTATTCTGTCTACATTCTTATGGGGAGTAATTGGAAGTATAGCGGAGATAATCGGAAGACCCTCAAAGCCCGCAGCTATTTGATCTACTAACTTATACTCATTTGGCACCCCTCTAGGTACGCCTATAGCATCAATATAGGTCGGGTCAGGCCCCATAACGGGATAGTCGACGTCTCTTTTTGCCCTAGAGGGAGTCTGGCTTGCTACAATAACAGTCGCTGGAGACACGAGAACTACCCTGGCACAGCGCCCTGTCCAGTGTAGCGGCAGGTGTCCCCTGAGAGTATTCCCCCCACAGTACCACCACAAGTCCTGTCGCTGGTGAGTCAGGTCAATCTCGTTTACCGTCCGAGTCCTGGCACAGAGAGACTGGGAAAGATGACCTACCGAGAGATAGGCCCGCCTTCCCCCTCCTGTTGCTCGTTCTATACATGAAAAGTTGCCTGCAGTCGGGGGGTCTAAATATGGGCGGCTGCGTGTTACTGGCCAATACGGGGTAAGTTGTATGGTCTACTTCACATATTTTGCCCCTGTCGATACCACTCATTATAATTGTCTCACACGTGTCATTATAATATGTTGCAGGCACGACTAATACTGTGGGTCTGGCTTTCATACATACCAAGCAGTCAGTTGCAGTGTTTTGTGCTGCTTGTTGTGCTAATTGAACCCATGTGTTGACGGTAGTATCTACTCCGGTGGCTAGATAGAAAAAGGTGTCTACATCTATTTTTTCGGGCTGTACAGATCCTACCCCCCTTCTCAACGCCACTTCATTGACGTATGCATAGTTATCTGGGAGCAGGGTTATACCTTCTTGTTTACACACCAGTATCTCTGCAAATGGATCTAAGGCGGGCCCAGGATAATAAGCATAAATGCGTAACACTTGACATTCAAACTTATCCTCCTGCCCCCTAAAATCTAAAGTTACAGTGAGGTGGGTGCGTGTTCTAGTTAATGTCAGTATGCGTGCCCATATTTTCGCTGTCTCTGTTGTTGGGTAGGGTGTCCAGTCTGTCCCAGTGTAGGTTGCCACATTTCCCCATGAATTGTCTTCTACCCCCATTATAACATAATAATCACAGTCAGTGTAGCCCCCTACAGCTTGCTCCAACGTTACTTCTCCATATGTAGGTGCACTGTATGGCAGGGTGAATGTTCGTGTGAAGTTAGCAGGTACACACAGCTGTATTATTCTCTCATGACCCATTTCTTTATTGCACAATGACTCTATGGACATTATACTTCTTTTGACTTTACTTATCTCCATGAAGGATATGATTTCCGATGGCTGCGGCTCAGCAGGCTGGAGTTCGAGGCTTTCCCTGGACCCCAGGCTGACGATGATGAAAGCCCACCCTGCGACCAGGTGGCTTGCCATGTTGCAGTGCCCAGGGAGCAGAGGTTACCAGCACGTGCTCCCTGTAAAAACACTGTTCTGCACACGAAGTCCTGCGTCTCTCTTACTCGTCGAGCTCTCGGGACTTACAGTGACTCAGGTGGATCCACCCGTTCCTCCCCTCGACCTTAACAGCGGTGGGAGTGGTCAGCAACACACGGTGTGGTCCCTCGTAACGGTCACTGGCCCAATGCTTCCGTTTGATCACCTTGATGAACACCCAGTCTCCCACGTGGACAGGGCGATGCTGCTGTGAAGAAAGCGGAAGATCCGGCAGATTATTGTTTTCTGAGCAGTCTCTAGCCATTAATGTCTCCTTCATATACTGGGCTAGATCAGGTACAGAGTCAGGTGCATCTCTTGCGTTAATGTCCAGGTCAGGTATTCGGTACGGTCGTCCATACAAAATCTCAAAAGGTGTCAATGTTCTTCCTTCAACTGGTACAATGTGCATATTCAGTTTTACTAGGTCAATGCACTGAGTCCATGGCCTTCCTGTTTCTGCCATAGCCTTGCTCAATTTATTTTTAATTGTTCCATTTGTTCTTTCAACTAGTCCGGCGGATTGGGGGTTGTAGGTACAATGTCTCTTTAAATCTATTTTAAAGTGTTCTCCCAATCTGTCTATCACTTGATTCACAAAATGTGGCCCATTATCACTTCTCATGGTTTCTGGTATACCAAAAGTAGGAATAATATGTTTACACAGGGCTTTTGCTACTGTGAATGAATCAGCTGAAGCTGTGGGAAACATTTCAACCCATCTCGAGAATACATCTATGATTACCAAACAGTATTCCATGCCTTGTACTTTGTTCAATTGGATATAATCCATGTGTATAGCCTGAAATGGATAGCTGGGTCGGGGAATTGCCCTCTTTTTGGCCTCAACTGGCCCTGTGCGTTCTTTTTTACACAGATCAAACATTGTCTACAAAAATTTTTCGAGTAGGTATTGAATCCTATTGTATTGAAATATTGTTCTACTAGTGCCACCATCCCTCCTGTTGAGACGTGACACACTCCATGACTCAATATCGCCCCCCAGTGGAACATGGACTTTGGCAAAAACGGCCTCCCATTTTGTCCCACATATATCTGATCTTTCAGGACGGCCCCCCTTTTCACCCAAGTAGCCTTTTCAGATGCATGCGCTTGCTCTTGCATTATTTGCAAAATATCTTTTGTAGCCTCAGTTACTGTTTCTTGAGCGTATATTCCACACGCTTTCTCTTTTGCTTTCATATCTGCAAACCTGTTCCCATTTGATACAAAATCTGTGCCTTTTGTATGCGCTTCACATTTGCAGATTGCCAATTTCTTTGGTAATTGAACTGCATCTAAAAGATTTTGAAGAAGTTGCTTGTGAGTAACCTCCTTTCCTGTGGTTGTTTTAAACCCTCTTTGCTGCCACTGCCTGCAAAAGATATGTACTGCACTGAAAGCATATTGACTGTCTGTGTAAATTGTGACAGGCTGCCCTTTAAACAATTTACACGCTTCTGTTAAGGCTATTAGTTCTGCTGCCTGTGCTGATAAATTTGAAGGTAGTTTTTCAGATTTTAACAACTCTTTGTCTGTAGTAATAGCATAAGCTACCAAATTCTTTCCCAACTCGTTCTTTCTAGCTGACCCATCTACAAATATTATGCTTCCTTCAGTGAGAGGAATTTCCTGCATATCTGCTCTGGCCTTGTAGACAGTCTCAGATTCGATTACACAATCATGCGGTTCACCGTCTGTTTCAATTGGGAGTAAGGTGGCTGGGTTCAGTGCAGTACATCTCTCTATGTTTAGATGCGGTTGAGACAATAATACTGTCATACACGTTAAATGTCTTGCTGGCGACAAAAATGCCATTTTCGTCTGCAGGAGGAGTGCTGCCACTGCATGTGAAACTTTCAGGGTTAGTGGGTGAAACAGCACTACTTCTGCAGAGGCTGTAACTGCAAGAGCGGCCGCCAGGACTGCCTGTACACAGTGGGGCGTCGCTCTTGCCACTGGGTCTAGCTGCTGAGAATAATAGGCTACTGGCCTATATCTCCCTCCGTGCCCCTGTAACAACACAGACGTCATAAACCCCTCTTTAACGTCTACTGTTTGAACAAAAGGCTTAGTGTAATCTGGTAATGCCAATACAGTTGATTTTATTAACTCGCTTTTTATTTTCTCAAATGCCAAATTTGCCTCCTCCGTCCAGTTTATTTTTTGATTCATTTCCATTGGTTCAGAAAAAATTAAATCTTGAAGTGGCCTAGCCAGGGCTGAGTAATCCAGTATCCAAGCTCTACAGTAATTACACAACCCGAGAAAGGCCATCATTTGCTTTTTTGTCAGCGGTTTTGGACTTTTTTGCACTGCCAATTTCCTATCAGTGCTAACAATTCTTCCTTGAGCGGTTAAGATATGCCCTAGGTACTTTACTTCTGCTTTCCACAGTTGTAATTTAGTTTTGCTCACTTTGTTGCCTGTTTCTGATAAGAACTGGAGGAGCGCAAGTGTGTCTGTCTGGCACTGTTTTTGGTTTTTTGATGCTACGAGAATGTCATCTACATAAGAGATGATTTGGCTGCCCTCTGGCGGTTGAAACGACGAGAGACATGCTGCTAATGCCTCTGAAAAAATTGTTGGTGAATCACAGAAGCCTTGTGCCAATCGCGTAAAAGTGTATCTTTTACCCTTGTACGTGAATGCAAACCAATGCTGACTATCTTCATGAATGCGGATGCTCCAGAATGCATTGCTTAGATCAACGACGGAAAAATATTTGGCTTCTGAGTCAAGTTCATAGAGTAGGGTTTGGGGGTTGGCGACGTTAGCTAGTCTGCGTTGGACTGCCTGATTTACTGCTCTCAAATCTTGTACCAACCTCCACCCTATGGAAGGCTCATGCTTTTTTATTGGGAAGATTGGGGTGTTACAATTTGAATCGGAGCAAGGGACTATTATTCCTGCATCTAATAGTTCATTGATGACCGGAAGAATGCCTGCCTCAGCATCCTTTTTTAGCGGGTATTGTTTCACCTTTGGCCTATGTTCATTTTTGCCTTTGATCACTACCGGTTCAACACCCTTCATTAAGCCTACATCTGATGGGCCCTTGCTCCACAGGGTCTCTGGGATATTTTCTAATGCTCTCTCTTCAATTTCTGTTAGCTGAATTTGTCACACATCATCAGTTTCACTTTTAATATGGACTTGAGGATACAATGTAATTCTCAAGTTTAAGTAGCATCTGGCCCACCCTGTTTGAGTTGAGATTTCTTCCTTCTCTGAGATCTTTTTCCAATCTGTTATCTTGTTAATTTTTATCATGTGTGTTTTAAAATCTTCCCACTCTTCCTCTGGATGTTTTAGTAGCGGGAGATGCGCGGTTGCTTTGTTAGACATTAAGTCTCCTACTCGCATGGGCGGCACCACTTGACACAGAGCTGTGCTATTTTTGACATACAGATAAGGAACGTCACATGACGAGGGCCCACAACTTAGGAGCGCCTCCGAGTAATCTTCATCTGGGCCTGGAGTGGTTTTTACTCTAGTGGTCATGTGAACTTCGTCAGGGTGCATTTCATCATATGGAGCTAACGTTCTAGGTTTTGCCACATTCAACAGGTATTCAGGAATTTTCCGTGGGTCATTCCTAGACACCTCTAACCCCCACCAATAGAATGCGGGGGAGGTAGCCTCCGCTACCATAACGTGTGTGAGGGGGTAGGACGCTACCCTAAACACCCCCTCCTCTGTCGGGAGTAAGGCTAGTTCCAATTGCAAAATGCCGTCTCTCCCTAACAAATTGTGAGGACATTGTGGAGCTAGAACCGCCTGAACCATGCCCGTTATCTCTCTGTTTTCAGGGTTTTGGATTTCTAGTGGGTTACTAAGGGCTACCTTTTTTGCTAGGCCATTGGCCGACATCATGGTTATGCTTTGTTTGCTCTTTTCTATCCCTGTGACATCTCTAAGTACTGTTTTTTCTGCCCCGCTGTCCACTAAGAATAACATTGGTTTCCCATTTACTAAAAGCACAATTTCAGGCCCGGTTTTCGCATGAACGCTCTCTGCTGCTAATAGTATCTGTAATTGTTGTGTCTCTGGGACCGTTACGTCCTGCAGCTGTTGTTTTTCTGGGACCGTTATCTCCTGCAGTTGTTGTGTCTCTGGGACCGTTATCTCTCGTGCTAGTCATGCCCCTGTTTCAGTCTCCTGCTCACAGTCTCTGGCCATGTGGCCTTTTTTGTGACATTTGTAACAATTTCCTTCTTTCCGATCAATGCTTTTTTGGTCTTGCCTTTTGCCCTGAAATTTAGATTTCTTTCCTTTCCCTCTACCCTGGGAATCTCTCACTACCATGTAAATTCCTGTCTCTTGTTGATGCTTCTTTTTCTCTTTTTCAAGAATTACTTTCTCTGCGTGTACTGCGTAAGTCATAAAATCGGTCACGCTAGCCGTGGGTAACGCAACAAAATTTCGCTGAAGCCACTGTTTGATGGGGTCTCTAAGCCCCTGAAGAAGAGCGTTTTTGAATTGCTGTTGAAACGCGCTGTTATCTTCCTGTGCCTCAGGAATGCCGCTGTGTGTTTTGAAAACAGGGAACATTCTGGCCCTGAACTGTACCACGGATTCACTCTCATTTTGTTTGGTCTGGCTTATGATTTCGTAATTTGCTCTTTTGGCATACACAGTTCGCATTTTGGCCAGGACTGGGGCTAAAGAGGACATTACATTAGCATGGGTCACTATGGCGGGGGGTTGTCCTGTTACTGGAGCCCAATCGCCCTTAACCTGAAGCCATTTTAATTGGCATAAATGCATCAGGACTTGCTGCATTTCTACTCCGTTTAAGTAATACGTCGCTTGTAATTGTTCAATCCCCTCTATGCATTCGTTAATATCTTCGTCTGGCTTAATTATATGCTCGGTGGCTTCCAACATATCCTTTTTTGTCCACGTCCTAAATACGCGTATTGTTTCGCTCTGGCCCTCCGCTACGTTTGGATTGGCGACTTCGATCAATGGAAATGCTTCAATATCAGACTCGCATTCATCTGAATTTTGCCCATATCCCACCTCTGGAGACATCAAAATCTTTCTTGCTCCCATCTGAGTGCTCCACTCTCCATATTTAACCTTTGATCTAGTCCCCATGTACGCAGGCGGTGGTTCCTGAGTGTACTGTCTAATGTGTGACGACACGTCTGGAGCAAATCTTTGCGCGGAGATATGTTTCTCTTCTCCCGCTGTCCTTATCACCCCTCCCTCTGCGCTCTCTCTTTTCTCACTGTCCTTGGTTGTGACTGCTGGAGGAGCAGTGGGGGGAGGGCGCTGGGCTGCTGCCGCATCCGGCACCCTTCTCCCTCGGCCCCCTACCTGGGTCTCCTCATCTTCCCCTGGTTTTATAACTGGGCATGCATTTACCCACTGCCTCTTAGCTACCTCTAACCACACCCTACCTTGGCGGGTCTGCTCACCTGGTTTTTTATTTGAACGACCTTTCTGCTTGTCGTGAATCATTAGCTGATTTATCAATTCCTCAAGTAGATGTTTATCGAGCGTAGGTTTAAACCCATATCTTTTTTTCCATTTCTCTAGGTACTTCGTGCTACCTGGAAACTCTTTCTCCATGTGTTTAACCAGCTCCTTCTGTTTTTTGAATACTGTTTTTTCGTCCATGTTAGTTTCGACTATGTGCCGTCGTGAATACAAATGAAGGATGTACAACAGTTTTTGTATAACACTGCTCAAGCAAGCTTCTACTCTTTTTACGGAGCGGCTTGAACCTGGGTGTATATCTCACCGTCGTTATACAATTTCAGTCCCCCACTTGTAGACACTAAGGCGGGTTTAGTAACACAAAAAAAATAGTCCAAAACAAGGTCTGTCAGTCGTCCCTAGGTTTTCTTTTCTGCTTGGTCGACCCTTACTTCATTTCAGTTAGAAATCTGCATTATTCTAACTTATGTGCTTTTGAAAAGGCCTGCAACATTTCAACCCCAGTCATCCAGTTAAGAAAGTACTTTATCCTAACTTTTTGTCCTTTTGACCTGCCTTGGTCTCATACGGATGACTGTTCTACTTTGTTTCAGTTAGAGCTACTTTACTAACTGGGTCGCCACGACCTCCTGGCCTAGTCTCAACAAATGAAGATTTTTCTACTCACTCGTGTCGTTCTGGTGCTCTCCGTTCGAATTCCGTCGGCAGCTCCAGCGAAGGACGATGGCGTGTACTGGCCACGGGAAAAGTGGACTTAGCGAGGCAGTTATCTTCTCACCACCTCGGCTGTGCACAGTCTTGCAGTCCGCGATATCGCCCTCCTCCCGAGCTGCACCCGGAAGTCGGCTCCGAAGGACCAAGTAAATGTCAGGGAATTCTACCCAAAAGACATTAAAATACATTAATAAAGACACACCAGAAAGAGACGGTAATAAAGTATACTTGCGCAAGGAGAGTTTGCGAACAAATGTCTGTCAGCTCCCTGACCTACTCTGCTCGACAACTCTCCAAGTCACACTTTTATTGAGAATCATTTTCACAGATAAACATACTTGATGACATCACAATACATTTCACATGTTTATCTTATAACTAACAATCGTCAACTGAACCACCCTCCCATTTCACACTTGATTACATATCCTAAAGATAGACAATGACCCAAGGCCTTTAGTTTTAACATGAGATGGGACAAACCCAGAATCGTTGGCGCCCATAGTAGATTAGCTTAATCGGTTGACAATGTCATTCATGTCACGTACATCCTGAACCAAAACAGACCCAAAGCAATGTTGATTACACCATGATTAATATTTAAATGTTTCACTCTTAAATGATTAATACTTAATGAAAGAATTACATATATAAATGAGTAACACTTACATGATTAATACTGAAATCAAAGAATACATTTATATCATATCAATTCTCTAACACCAGGCCTGAGGCTCTGGGCTGTAGCTCCTCTGTGGTCGTCCTGTCAGACTTGGCTCCAGTGCCCCACATTGACCCTGGAGGGAGGAGCACCATTTTCATTTCACTCATTTTTACTTCCACTTTGTGCCAAGACAGAAACAAAAATCACACACATGAAGATGAAAACTCTTAAATTAACCCAAACCTGTTCATGACAGAGTTTAAAAAATTAAAAATGATGTGTTTGTTTCTGCACATTGATGAGGAAACTTTACAAATGGCAAAATAAATTACAAACTAAACATAAATTTAACCCAATTTCTTTTCTTGTATTGTGCTGCTTTTATTGTCGTACAAAATAATAATAATGATAAAGAAGCACAGAAGTTTATGGTTTATGGTCGTATAAAATAAAAGGTCATGTTAAAGAAAAGTCTGTGTTTAGTTCAGTCGTGTTTTTCTTGTGGAGACAATATTTCCAGTCGTCTTGGTATTTCTGTAAGATTAGATTTTTATTTGTTTTTTGAAGTGCACAGGTCAAAGGTCAATGCGTCTGAGTCAAAGGGCACGTCTCATTTCTCTTTCCTCGCTTCCTTCTCCTCGATTCTTTTACTCGATCCTCCATTTTTCAGTCAAATGTGCCAAAGCTCAAGGGAAGGAAAGCACAGAGGAAACCTGAGTGAGGATCCAAGAGGCACAGATGTGTGAAAAGAAGTGTGACAGAGAGGAGTTTGTGTTGGACACAGGACAGGAGCAGCAGCAAAGGACGTTTGGACCTGTTGGAGAATCCTGAATCTGACATGAAAACAAATCAAAAATATGTTCAAACACATTGATCCTTTTAAAATAAAGACACTGATCTGACTTTGATTTAAAAGTCCTGAAATAATGACACATTCACCTCAGCTCATGAGGCGTCAAGACCAACGAGTCAAGACCAAGACCGGTCCAAGACCACAGGGTCCAAGACCACAGAGTCCAAGACCACAGAGTCCAAGACCACAGGGTCCAAGACCACAGAGTCCCAGACCACAGAGTCCAAGACCAAGACCACAGAGAGTCCAAGACCACAGGGTCCAAGACCACAGAGTCCAAGACCACAGAGTCCAGACCACAGAGTCCAAGACCACAGAGTCCAAGACCACAGAGTCCAAGACCACAGAGTCCAAGACCACAGGGTCCAAGACCACAGAGTCCAAGACCACAGAGTCCAAGACCACAGGGTCCAAGACCACAGAGTCCAAGACCACAGAGTCCAAGACCAAGACCAGTCCCAGACCACAGAGTCCAAGACCACAGGGTCCAAGACCACAGAGTCCAAGACCACAGAGTCCCAGACCACAGAGTCCAAGACCACAGAGTCCAAGACCACAGAGTCCCAGACCACAGAGTCCAAGACCACAGAGTCCAAGACCACAGGGTCCAAGACCACAGAGACCACAGAGTCCAAGAGTCCAAGACCACAGGGTCCAAGACCACAGGGTCCAAGACCTCTGAGGGTCCAGACCGAGACGAGACTGAGACTTTTAAAGGTTGAGACCGAGACCATGGCCCATCGAGACCAAATCGAGACCATGTTTGTCATTTTCTACATTTATTTGTATTTTACAGTTATTTTGTCACATTTATATCAATGTTTTTATAAATCTGTCTCCATTTTAACACTCGTCCAGTGTCAGACCTCGAGACCGAGAATGAGACCGAGTCCAAACGCAGTCAAGACCAAGATGAGACCAAGTCAGGTCCTGGAGTCCGGCTCTGACTCTTTGGGCTGATACTGACATTTGGGTGTGAAGGATTTTTGTAAACGGCGTCGACGCTGCTCGATCTAAACAAACATGGACCAGAAGAAAGTCTTCAGCCACAGAGACGACTTTACCAAATTTACTGAACTTCAACTTTGGTGAAACTGCAACAATAAACACACAGAAATGTGTCTTAATATCAGAGCCAGATCAAGTTTACGAATTATAAACATCACCAACAATGAAAGTTACAAGAGTTAGCATGACGATTAGCATCGCCACATTAGCATATGAATAACGGACTAATTTCCATAACAATGACGCACAAAAAACGAGCTGACTCATCCATTTCAATCATAAAAGGTAAAATTACAGGTGTATAATTCTGTTTTACCGTGTCAGACTTACAGACGATGTTTAAACAAACACCAAAAGAGAAACAGCAGAACAGAAGAGCGACGTTTGGACGAAGTGAAACACAACTTCTGTCTGACCTTCTTCTACTGTTATTATTAAAACAAACAAACAAACAAAACTATTATTACAAAAAAAAAAAAAAACTATTACAAAAAATAACTATTATTACAAAAAAAAACTATTATTACAAAAAACTATTATTACAAAAAAAACTATTATTACAAAAAAAAATTATATTATATATATTACAAAAAAACAACTATTATTACAAAAAAATATTATTACAAAAAAAAAATTATTATAAAATTATTATTACAAAAAAAAACAAAAAAATCAATTATTATAATAAAAAAATGTTATTACTAAAAAGCAAAAAACTATTATTACTAAAAAAAACAACAAAAAAAATCTATTATTATAATTACAAAAAAATTGTATTACTAAAAAAACCCAAAAACTATTATTACTTTTAAAAAAAACAAAGAAACAAAAATCTATTATTATAAATTACTAAAAAAAAAACTATTATTACTAAAAAAAAACAAAAGAAGTTATTATTACTAAAAAAAACAAAAAAATCTATTATTATAATTACTAAAAAAAAAAAAATTACTAAAAAAACTAAATCTATTATTAGTAAAAAAAAAAAAAAAACAACAACAACAACAACAACAAAATATTATAACTAAAAAAAAAAACTATTACTAAAGAAAACTAACAAACAAAAAACTCTATATTATGACTAAAAGGGTAAATGGAAGCGTCCACTAGATGGCGTAATTTAGTTAGTAATAAACATAAGACTAAATCAGTCAAATACAGTAAACATAATAATTATCATGGCCAAAATAATTGTGATTAACGATTATATCAGGATCATTATTAAAACTGCAGACAGTTCCAAATCTTTATAGATATGAAAACTTATAATTGTAATTTTATAATGAATAAGTTCCAAATGTAAAAAGTCGTTACAAGTGTTGAACTTTGTTATAAGTGAAAACAACACGGTCTACGCAGGCGCACCTCCGGGCCATGTTGCACAGAAAAAAGATCAATAATAAAATATAAATTACAAACACGACTCTTCTGTCTTTATTTATTTGAGCATCAATTCAAAAATGAAAAGAAACTGCACAAAAGAAAAAAGTGCAAACATTGAGAAATCTAGAACTTAACTATGAGTAACACTAACATCTGTGAATTGATCAAACTGAATCGTCTCTGTCCTCGACAAAATCACTGTCAGGAGTAAATCAGGACTGAACAGAGATCTGCAGGTGAACGTCACTGACAACGTGTTAAACTCTTTAGAAATGTGCAGAAAACTTCACCTGTATAAAAGTCAGTCCAGAGTCCAGATAGTCTGTTTATATGGTTGTTTTAGTTGTTCCTTGTTCTACCCTGTTGAGCCACAGAGGGGCGCACTTACACACCGAATGTACCACAGAGTTTACACCAGCTCTGTCCCGGACACTTTTAATGTCTGAATAACATGTGAGTCCTTTAGATGTGAGTGTGTTTGTGTGCACATGAGTGGTATTATGTTTAGAGCTCGTAGCTTTAGTTTGACTGTGTTTGTGCAGTTTTACAGTTTTTGTGTGTGACTTTTGTCTTTGTATAATGAGCCTTGTGACTGCATAATTACACATCTTTTTCTTATTTCACAAATCCCCATTAAGCCGGACGTACACTGCAATTTTTGGCTCTTTTTGAGACGATTTTTCACTTGTGCCACTGTTTTTGGGATCAGGCCGAGTTTTCAATTAATCGCGAGTCGTGTGTAGTAAACATTAACCCCTCATGACCCTCATGCTCCTGATCTGTAATTGTAGGTCACAGGAAAATTAAACCTGTTTGAATCCAGTCGCCTCTCGTGAGGGTTTCTCTCTGTTGAAGAGGTTCAGTCTGAGAACATAAATCATGAGCTGTGAACTTTTAAACCCTGAGATTTGGTCGTACAGTTTGAGCTGGAGCCGAGTGAAACCATCGAAAATATCGCAGTGTACGCCTGGATCTGTAACGTGTATTTGGCACTTTCTTAACCTGGGTATTTTAATTTAGGTCCGTTTCTATTCTAACAGTACCACACTGCCTCCTATCAGCCACTTTGTAAACCTGTAGATTTATGTAATAAATACACAGTCATTTGTTATGTTTATTATTAATATATTGTTTGCATTTGTTTAGTTTTTCTCTAGAAAAAACTAAAGTAGAAAAACACACGCACCCTTACACACTCAGACATTAAAGAAACGTTCTACTGTTACCTGGATGTGGACTCCCTCATTCTTC